ATATGACCAAAGTGGGTATTTGTTTTTCTTGACTATACTTATGTGATATGAGTCTTTCTTTCTTTCCTTCTTTCCTTCCTTCCTTCCTTTTCTTCCTTCCTTTTTTCCTGTCCTTCTTTCTAACTTTTACCCCAATGTACGGAGGGAGATGGAAAAAGGGAAAAAAAGAATGCTAAAAATTGAAAAATTCTCATAGGCCTCAGTTTCCCTAACTGTAAAATGAAGATGCTGGACTAGGTGACCCCCTCGGGTCCCTTTCAGCTCTATATCTATGATCCTATAATAAGTAATATGAAGTCATTGTAGGCTCCTTAACCCTACTGGTTTGTCTTATCTTCTTCCCCCAGGACATTTTCTGAGGAAATTACAAAAACACCACCACTACCAAGGATCTCCTCTTCTTGATCCTAGGTTCTCTTATCTTGTTTAATTTTCTTTTCTTCTCTTTTAGGATAGACATAAGAAGAAACTTTCTAACAATCAGAGCTATCTCAAAGTGGAATGGGCTGCCCCAGGAGGCAATGGATTTCAATCCACTGGAGTCTTTCATGCAAAGACCAGGTAACCACTCTCTTGTGGTAGAGAGATTCTTGTCTAAGATACAAGTTGTACAATGTAGCCTCTAAGTTCCCTTGCAACTCAGAGACTCCAGGATTCAAAAATCCATTTGTCTGCCAATATCATATTCTATATTTTCTTTCTCAATGATGTTGATGAATGAAGAACCTTCTGAGATATGTCCAGTGACTTTCCAGTCCATGTTCCCACATTATAGTCCCCAAGAGAAAGCTGAAATTTTACATTTAGACCTTTGCCTGATTCATGTCTGTAAGGGTTCAATGTTCTGGATTTTCTCCACTCCGGGTTTGTAAAGATACAGTGCTTCCTTCTGGGTCTTACTCCTTATTAGTCTCCCTTATTGTATTTCTCTGAACTCTTCACTCACTTCATTTCATTCCCTTTTTTCACTGTTTTCTCATTACTGCCACTAGGCAGCATTTGGGTGGCTGCCATCATGACTTTTACTCCCGAGTCCTGATAGCATTCTAATTTGCTTCAAGGCAAGTTAGAGGAAAGGGACATAGGAAAGACTATCTCCCCTTTTCAGTGTATCAAATAGTTTGCCTAAAGTTATGTAGTTGTTTCAATGGCAAATAAAAATTATGATTGTTGTTCACTTACATCAGTTGTGCCTGACTCTTCATGACCCCATTTGGGGTTTTCTTGGCAAGTCACTTAACCTCTGTTTGCCTAATCCACTGGAGAAGGAAATGGCAAACCATTCCAGTATCTTTGCCAAGAAAGTGGATTTTTTTCATGTGTGTGAAATTTTTCTAGAATCCTAAGCCCTGTTAAATAATTGAAAGGGGAACATTATAGTACTTGATATAATATGAAATATGACTGCTTTGACTATGCATATTGTAGTATGACCAACAGGGAATTGATGTCAATTTTCTGACTGGGCCAGCAGATTGTTGGGTCGATTGGATCAATCCAGTGAGACTTTGGGGTTTGGGTTTAAGCCAAGGAAGATACACACACTTAACCCTGGGTTGATTGGCAAGATACTGGCCTGGAACATGTTCATTTCATCCATAGTGGCCTATAACCCACAGATTACTGAAATAGCTCAGTATCAGCTTCAACTGGGAGTCCCAGCTCAATCGTCCTTGACTGAGGAATCCATGTTAAAAGCTCCAAGCAATATTTTAGCTCTCAGAGTCTTATGGTCCAGGAAGTGTCACCATTCAAGGATGTCACAGTTAGTGTTATCGCTCTCTCTGGAGGCCACTAGGGATTTTCCTTTGACACTGATCAAAATCAGGAACCCCTGGGTAGGTAAAATAGCAGCTACTTAAAAGTGCAAATTTTAATAAAGTTTCAAAAGTTCCAGTCCTGAACCATTCAGCTTTTCCCAACATAGTCTTATTTCTAAGCCAAGCATCATAGATGCTGCTGTTTTTCCAGCTCAGTTTTCTATACCAGTGAGTATAGGTGATGTGGGTCATCACAGGGATCACCAGCTCAAGCCTTTGCATTCCGTCCAGCATAAAACATACATCCTCAGAAAACATACACATATACCCCAGTGCCATTATCCCATGTTCCACCTTCTCTCGCCTTTTTCCTTCTCTTTCTAAAGTTCTAATTCAGGCTAAATTCCTGGTCACTTCCTTTATTGGCTGATTCTTCAACTCCTATTATAGTCTCCCTTGGCACCTGGAGCTTCAAAATACACCTTTGGAATCTTTGAGGTGAAAGCACCTGAGACACAAGGTTCTTGGTTCATCCCACCCTTTTCTTGTTAAGTAATGGAGCAGAGTGGTCACTTAATGACTTATTCTAGACTAACAAGAAACCAGTCTGGGGGCTTGAAACTCACTCTCCTAACTTCCCCATACACAGTGGTGGATCTATGTGTCTGTTGATAGATAGGTTTTCCTCTTGATTTATTCTTAAATGGAAGTAACTACTAATAGTCCAGCACAACTTATGAAAGGGACAAACTTATTCCCTGTCTCAACATTTGCCTGTTAGCAGACAAGATCTCCAAGGTAAATATTATTTTTTGTATTCTTAGGAGGCTATTAATATTGTAATTATTGATCCATATGTTTTTAATGAAAATAACAAAAATTGAGTTGTTGAATTGTTTTTCAGTAGTGTCTGACTGTGACCCCATTTGTAGTTTTCTTGACAAAGATACTAGAGTGGTTTGCCATTTCCTTCTTTTGCTCATTTTACAGATGAGGAAACTGAGGCAAATGGGATTAAATGATTTGCCCAGGGCCGCATAGTCAGTAAATGTATGAGGCCAAATTTGAACTCAGTCTTCCTTGAATCCAGGCATGGTGCTCTATCCTCTGTGTCAACTATCTTCTAGCTATTTTAAGATGGAATATAATAATTTATATTCCTTTCATCAGCCTATGCAATAACAATAGCTTTTAGGAAACATGGAAGCACAGTCTCCCAGGGTGATCGAAGAGATAGCTTTCTTTTATTAGCAGGGTTGGACCTTTTTTGCTCAAAACTGACCTGAACCCTATTGCCCTTCAAATCTGCAATGTTTGAAATACAAATAGTGTGATTTCTGCCCCTCCCCCCATTTGACTTTCCAGACACATATAGACTCTAGCAATGGGGAAAATGATTATATATGACAATTATTAAATTTCAAGACTTACATTTGGATAAAACTAAAACTTTCCCTGAAAGTCTGTGTATTCTCAAGGGAAAGAGACAAAGTCTGGAAATGTGATTTCATTGGTATAGGGAATTCTCGGGGAAGGAACCCTCTTCTACCAAGAAAAATCAGTGTCTTCTCTGCTACTTAGAGGCTTATAGTATTTTCTAGAGCATTGAGAGGTAAATGACTTGTTCAGGATTTGTCAAAGGTGTGACTTGAATTCAGGTCTTCCTAGCTAGTTTTATAAACACTATGCCATACTGGTTCTCATGTACTTTCTTATTTTATTTTATTTTTAATTTATGGAATAAAGCAAGCATTTCCATAGCATTTATATGGAATAAAACAAGCATTTCCATAGCATAATAAAAAGACAATTGTACATGAAACTACAAATCTACTACACACAACTTGATATTCCTTTCAAATATACAACAAAATTATCATGTAATTTTTCCCTCCCCCTCTGTTCTAGAGATGGCTATGATTAAATACAAATAGGTATATTATGTGGGTATGTATGTAAAACTATTCTCTACATACTTCTATTTATCAGTTCTTTCTCTAGATGCAGATAGCATTTTTCTTAATATGTCTTCTAATAGTTAATTTGGGTGCTTATAATAGGCAAAATAACTTATTCTTTCAATGTTATTCTTAAAACAATATTGCTGTTATGGTATTCAAAATTCTCTTGGTTCTGCTCATTTCTCTCTTCATTATTTCGTGCAAGTCTTTTCATGTTTTTCTAAAATCATTGAGCTCATCATTTCATATAGCAAAGTAGTATTCCATCACAATCATATACCACTTCTTCAGCCATTCCCCAATTGATGGGCAACCCTACAATGTCCAATTCTTTGCCACCACGAAGATAGCTGCTACAAACATTTTCGAACATATAGGTTCTTTTCCGTTTTCCCTAATCATCGTTGGAAAGAGATTAAGTAATGGTATTGCTTTTTTAAAGGGTATAAGTAGTTTAATAACTCTTTTGGCATATTTTCAAGTGTTCATCAGCATATTCTTCCTCTACAAAGATTTCTGAAAAGTAACAATAAGCTCTTCCAGTTTGTTTTATTCAGTCTATCTTATTGAGGGAGATCCAGATAGTGCACCATTTTACTGGTAACTTATTAAAAAGGCCTAGGGGTGCCACCAGGGAAGAAGAATCAGTTGAGCTCTGAAGTCCCTTTCTGAAGCAGTATTCATATTGCCCATAAGGAGCTCACGGAGCCTTACTCTTGGCATGTTCCTTATTCTAGAGACCAGAAAAGTCAACCAGATGTCCTATAATTCTCATTGACCCAATAAGACCCAATAAATACGGTAGTAATATTCCGATGAATGAAAACCAAATTGAAAATATAAGTTAGTCATGATTTCAATCAACATTTGATTTTGAAATCAACTTCAAATTTTATCTGAGTAGAAATAAAGAGGAAAACAAATCAATGATTTACTCATTATAAAAACTTAGAAACATGGAATATATATAAAACAGACTCATGGTTACAGATGTTTAAAATTCACTCGATCATTGACATGAAACAGTATGTTGATTCATTAGTATATTCCAACAATTAAAAATAAAACATTGTGAGACATTTAATATTTGAATGTTATTTCTAAATCCCATTCAGAGGTGAGAAACCTGTGGCCTTGAGGCCACATGTGACCCTCTAGGTCCTTAAGTGTGGTCCTTTGTCTGAATCCAAACTGAATCCAAATCGTAGAAGGGGATTTGTTCCCCACCCCTGTCTAAATACTCTAGATAATATTTTCGAAAAAGAGAGTCAATAACAAATTCACGAAATATAGAGTAGTTTAATAAACTTAACAAACTTCTGTTCAATACTGGGTGACTAAAGACTGGTTTTTCTTAATGTGATAAATCCTTTTTATTCATCATGGGTAACATTGAGAATTAGAACAACAAAAGCAGCAACAGTGAATGCAACTAACATATGAGAAACAGCAAGCTGAAGTTAGAAACATGAAAAGCACGAAAGGAAGAAAGCCTCAGTTACCCTCACAAACTAGGTTAAGCCCCATCTATAGGACTGCATATTTTTTCTCCGCCCTCAGCAATTTTCCTCACCAACTCCAGCCAGATTCAAGGGAGTCATGAAAATCAATCACCTTACTTGTGGAGGACTACACAGGGAAAAATGGCACTGAATCTCCATGATCCCGCGGGGCCATGGCTATACCCTACACCAACCTCCTTTCTCAACCAATACAGAGCGCTATGTGTTTGGGCATCAAGTCCAGAAAATCAATATATCAAGAACCTCTGATTTCCTCTGTGCAAGAACTCCTTTCTTTGGGGGCAGATTCCAGGTAATTTATAGCTTGTGGTCCTAGAGAGTTACTTAAAGCTCAGAAAGGATAAATTGCTTGTTCATAGTCACATAGCTAGTAAATGCCAAAGCCAAGACTGGCACTTTTTGACTCAGCTCTTTCATACTCAAAGTGTAGCACTATACAACCTCTCTATCTAGCAATGTATGGAAAGTAAAAGGGACTTGTGGGTGTCAAATATCTTAAGGATCAGATAATGGATTGCCAAAATGACAAAGAATGTATATAAAACAAGGACTCACCGGAGGACTATTCTGACTAAGGATCACTTGTTAGATAAAGAGTATATGGCTTGATTACAATTGGGTCAGGATATAAAAGTATTGATTAATCCTTATTCCTTACTCACAATTGAAATTTGAAACAAGCACAGGAACTGGAAAGATGGCAGAAGACAATAGTAATAGACAAAAGTGAAAAAGAGGCCTTAAATCTTCACCAATAGATTTTTTAAAACTACTTGTTGATACTTCTAAAATACACTTTACTTCCAGCTTACATTTTAGTCGTATTCTATCTACAATTTAACAACCAGTTGCTTCTTCCCACAGCAACAATTCTTTTAGCATGGAGATCAAATTTATGGTATATTGGTCCAATAAAGAAGTAGAAATAGTCTAGGGGGAAAAAGGAATTGAGTAGTTAGTTACCTTACAATTATGTTCAAACTTTTCAACTGGAGGAAATTATGACACTTGTTTCCAGACTGACTTTTCTGAATGTTATGTCTTTTATCTGGACCTGTGATTTCACTGATGTAGGCAACACCTAGTGTGGAAATTCCCTTTGCCAGTATAGACTGACAACTTCCTTGTAACTTATAGACTTAGTGCCTGATGCACTGAGAGGTTAATGTGACTTGCTTCTGGTCACAGAGCTAATATGTGCCAGAGGCAAGACTTGACCCCAGGGATTCCAGACTCTGTCTGGCTATCATACACTATGCTATCTATGCTGCCTCTGAGGGTATTTGGTTCAGACCTATCTTCACAGGGCCTCTCAATGTTATTTCTGAAAGTATACTTTTTAAAATGCTCTCACCAGATAGGTATTTCTACTTACGATCTTTCTGGAAAACAGCATCCACACTGCTTTGCAACCCTTGAAATTTATCTGCTATATTTTTAGGATAACCAGGATCCATGGCACGTCTTAGATTATCATATCTGATAAAAAATAGATAAAGGTTTATAATAAGCAGCTCACATATAAAGTATACTTTATGTTTTTCAAAATACATTTTCTTATTTGATCCTCACGAGTATCCTGGAAGATAAGTGGGGCAAGGTATTTACACACATTTTACAGATGAGAAAGCTGATCTACAGTGTGGCCAAGTGACTTGTCCAAGGTGAAGTAGTCAGCGGTAGAATCAGCACTAGAACCCTAGCCTCCCAGTGTCTGTGTTATTTCTTCAATAAGAGATCTTATGATTTACAAAGTTATCAGTATACCCGCACAAAACATTGCATGAGCACATTCATGTTTGTGCTTAATACTACATTGGTGTGAGAGTTGTGGTCACCAAATTCTCTGGGCCATCTGAAAAATATTTGCTTCAAAAGATTAGAGTTGAATCCCTAAGAAATGAGTACTTGCATTGCATTACTCTTCCTTTCTATTGTACCACAGTGTTTCAGCTCAGCCTGATGTGTTTTCTTCTCTTATAGAAGCCACCATTCCACTATTTGAATGAGGAATTTGTAAAAAAAAAAAAAAAAGGAATTTTCACAGATCCTAGCTTTACAATGACAACATATAAATCATGGAAAGAGCACCGACACAAGAGTCAGGACACCTAAATGACACGACACTTTATTATTTTGATGTAGCCATCAATTCACTGATATGGTCACTCCCTCCATGAGTATAGGTCAGAGCCCTTCCATATCATTTCATCCTTTGTAGTAATCCATATCACCAGTAACATATTTTGCACCACTTTTTGCATACAAGTCATCATCATACTACATAAAGAAAATGAGGTCCACAGACATAAAGTGAGCCCAAAGTCACATGACCAGTAAGTGGTAGATCTGGAACTTTAGTCCAAATTCTTTGACTCCACAGTCACCACACTACTTCATCCCCTTTGTATTATTTTTCATTTTGAAACTTCTGAAATAGATATTCCATGACTTCTAACTATATATTATGGCACCTGGAGAATATTAGTATTGAAGAGATAGCCTTTTGTCTCAAATGATCCCCAAATAGCTATGCAATCCTAAACAAATCCCTCACTCTGTTTCAGTCAAACACCAGAGGACCTTGTAGCAACAAACATTTAGTTCCTCAGAAATCACTAGAAAATGGAATTGCCCATTTTCCTCTGGATTTTTTCTTGTCAAAAAAAGAGCAAAGATGACTTCTTCTCATCTCAGAAAACAGATTTCAACTTCTGGATATGGAAATATGTACTCTTACCTCCAGTATTGGTTCTTTACAAAGAAATATGTTTTTCCATAGTTACTATATGAAACAGCTGCATCTATGGCTTGCACGGTTCTTGGGAAGCCAAAATTGGAGATATGTCTGGGAAAGCCAGGCCTGATTTCATAGCCAGATAGCGCCCAGTACTGGTTACCTATAAATAGTGATGGGAAGCCATTATGTAAAACTCTTCAATTTCTCTGAACAGTTTCTATCACAACTTGTCTCATTGCAAATCATTATAAAAATGAAATTAGACCAAATGTGTGGGTTTTTAAATAACCAAAGGCATACCCATACTGCTAAGCATAATTACCAATATCTCTCATCACTTGCATAATAAAAGCCAAATTCTTTAGCTTGGCTGTCAGTGATTTGGCCTTTACTTACCTCTTCGAAATAATTTCCAATTAATCCTCTCTGCTCCAATCAAACTGATCTACTGAGCAAACAGTGATTCCTGTTAACATGCAGAAATGATTGCCATAATAGCCCCTCTGCTCATGTTGTTTTCTCTATTGGGATTGCCTCCCTCTCTGCTCTTTTCATTTCAAAGTCAGTGCCTTCCTTCCAGCCCCAGAAAAAGAGCTGGTTCCCTCATGTAAATACCTGTAGGTTTTGTGGCCTTAATTATCTGTTTGGCACTTGGTCCAGATTTATTTGTTAAATTACCACTTAGCTTTTATGATGCATAGTTTAACCAGCAAGACTGTAAGTTCTTTGAAGACAGAGGTAAGGTCTTATCCTCATCCCTACCCCAACACACATGCACACACATGGACACGTATACACACACACACACACACACACACACACACCCCTTAGCTTAGCACAGGGCCTTCCTTGCAAATAGCAGGAACCCAAAGAATACTTTTCAATGGTGGTGATATAAATTCTTTGTCTTGCTAATACCTATAAAAGAACTTTTGTTTTTGTGGGAGACTTCACAGGGTTAGACACCCTGTAAGAAGAAACTAGATTTTCCTTTCTGGTACTCTCAATGTTATAGCCAGCCAGCCTTTTGTCTGATGATTTGGTCTTAGACATATAGAAATGTGGTGAAGCTGGTGGTTATCTCCAATGTCAGCTTCCCATTTGTAGGTTCTCAAAGAATCTCCTATTGTCCTTGAGAAAAACCCTAAGTGAAATTCTATACCTAATAGTGTACAACTTTTTTAGCTCAAACTTTGAAGCAGCATAGCATAGTAGGTTAAAGTGCTGTCCTTGGAATCGAGAAAACCTGAGCTCGAGTCCTGCCCCTGATATAAACTGGTTGTATGACCTCTTAGTGCCCCATGCCCCATTTAACTCTCTATGACTCTAAATTACAAGTGACCTGCCAATCTACATGAGTGTAGGAAGTTTCCACACTACATATTCTCCATACTTGTGAAAATCAGAGAGCTAAACCCCAAAGTTTAGGTGTTAATGTATAGTAAAGTAGTGGACTACTTTGAAAAATTAATATTAGGGTAATTAGATAATTAATAAGAGGAACTGTTATGTTGATTATGGGAATATTTCAGGCAAATAATCCAGAATCATATTCTCTGAGCTTGTATAGTGTCATCCTAACTAGATTTTCCAAAAAACAGTTCAAAACCCCACTATGAAATGATAAAAAATTATCGCATCATGTAAATGGTATGAACAAAGTCAGGCCAGGCAAAAGTTGGGGCAGCTAGGTGGCACAGACTGCCAAGCTTGGAGTCAGGAAGATTCATCTTTCTGAGCTCAAATCTGGCCTCAGACACTTACTAGCTGTGTGATCTTAGGCAAGTCACTTAACCCTGTTTGCCTCAGTTTCCTTATCTGTAAAATGAGTTGGAGAAAGAAATGGCAAATTGCTCCACTATCTTTGCCAAGAAAACCTCCAATGGAATCATGAAAAATCAGATGTGACTTAAAAACGACTCAACAACAAGATTTATTTTCAGTTCAGTTCAATATCTCCATCCTCTTACTATGCAGTCACTCTACTCAGGCACCCAGTGAGCTCATACTGCTTCAGCTGACAAGAGCTTCCCACTATGACACCTTTAAGGGCGGGAGAGAACATCATGCTTCCTGCCAAAAGTCAAATATAGCTGATATAGCTCTTTGGATCATTCAGTTAATAAGCATTTATTAAGTGCTATGCCATATGGTGTGTTAAACACTAGGGATACGAATACAAGGAATCAAGTCTCTACCCTCAAGGAGCTTATATTCTAATGGATAGGTATTAGATTTGGAATTTCATTAATAAAAGGTATTTCCAGATGAAGAAAATATCCTCTTCTAATGCACCTTTTCTGCAACTTCTGGCCTTAGAGAGTTGCCTAGAGCACTGATAGGTTACGTTCAGGGTCATACCACCAGTATGTATCAGAAGTGGACTACTGAAAAAAGTAACTTCTTTAATTCCTTATTCCAAGGTCTAAAATTGCAGATTCTTGACATGGAGACATGGGAAAGGACAATAAATGGTAACTGAAACTAGGTCATGCCTCTCTTTGGGCAGGAGTAGGGTAAGAAGAGAAATCTAGCTGCAGTTACCTTTAAATAGAATGACTAGATCCTTTTCATCATCCTCATAAGCAGCTTGTATCCCAGATGGTAATGATGGCCAGAATAAGGAAATCTTATGGAGTTCAGGCTTTGGTAGTTGGTTGTGCTTTCGCCAAAAGTACCTGATGAGAATTTTTGAAAAAAAGAAAATAAAATTAAGGTTGGCAGTAACAGTGTCTCTTTCAGTAAGTGAACCAAAATGGATGTAACAAAGTTGATTCTGGTTATGTCTTATAAAGGACTGATTAACCAAAATCATAAACTGACATAAGAAATTATCTTGTACCAAATGCTTCTTGCATCTTAAGCTATTCCACAAAGATATCCGTAATTGTTCTTTTTTTCTAGAGCAGAGGTTAGCAAACAATGGCCCATAGACTAAATATGGCCCTCTGCCCATTTTTATACAGCCTGTGATTTAAGAATGGTTTTTACATTTTAAAAGCTACTATAATTCTTAGTTTGGAGGCATACATAAACAGTCAATGAGTTACATTTAGCCCATGGGTCATAGTTTGCCAACCCCTACTCTAAAGGTTTAAAGCAGTGTAGACACAACCACGATTTCCAATGAAAACCATAACCAACCAACCAATAAAACAAATAGAATAGAAAGGAAAAGCAGAGAATTAGGTTATGAGTTAAACCTAATCACTTATTTTTAAAATGCGTTTGGATACATCTACAAAATAGAAAGTTAAGGGAGGTATTGATTCAGCTTTATACTTGTCTTTAAAGATTATGATTTCTCCACGGAGAGTGGTAATTGCATCAAATGTCAATTGCGGGTCACAGGTTCCTGGTGTAGTGGGTCCAGTAGGTTTGACTGAATTATTCGAAACACCTTAAAGACAATATTTAAAGAGGTAGGTTTTAAAAAGTGAAGAGTTACAAGACTACTGTGAAGCTTCTTGAGGTAATCTAAGAGGGAAGGCTCTAGCAAGAGAGGCAGGTAGTGAGGACACCAGGGAAAGACCTCCTGGAGAGATAGGATTTGCCCAATCCTAGTGGGAAGAATGTCTTCACCTCAATCCAATTCATTATCATATACTAATTTAAGGCTTTTGATGTAGCCAGCCCCTAGGCCATCACACAGGTCCAATACACCACATCCTTTTGGAGGAGGGAAGGAGATTATACCTGGAGTCAATGGTGTTGCTAAAGCAGAAATTCGACTCCTGCCCGCATGGCAGCTTTTACAGTAATTGCTAGAAGAGCATTAGTTGAGCCATTTTAAAATAAGCTCCTTGGTATCAGCAGCTTGAAAATGCTAAAGGAAGCTGACTTATGGAGAGAATCTTGAAGAGGGTAAAAGGTAAGTTCTTCAGAGCCTATGTAGACACCACTTCTAGGGTCCTCCAAACAGAAAAATGGGCATGGGTCTCAGCTCCTAACTGAATCTATGAACCAGTCCCTAAGAATAGCTATTCACAGAGGAGAATTGCCATCGCTTACCATAGAGAAACTGAATGCCATCAATATCATCCTGTGGCAGTACATAAGTGCTGGGTTCAGAGAAGGAATAAGTGGGGAACATCAAGGCACCAGGATCAGTGGAATGAGAAAGGCCCAACGAATGGCCAAACTCATGAGCAGCAACAAGGAATAAGTTGTAATCTGAAACAAGAGTGTGGTCATAACTTTCCCCTATATTCAAGACTACAGGGGGGCAGCTAGGTGGGATAGAGCTTTGGCCTTGGAGTCAGGAGGACCTGAGTTCAAGTTCAGCCTCAGACACTTGACACTTACTAGCTGTGTGACCCTGGAAAAATCACTTAACCCCAACTGCCTCACCGGGGAAAAAAAAAGACTATAAGAATCATGAATATAGGTGCTGACATGTCCAAATCAGAAATGCCTAAAGATGCCTCATTCCACCCTATGTTTAGGAGTTTATTCACACATAGAACCAAGCAATGGGAAGTAGATGAATCCAGGCATTCTTGATATGACTTGAGAATAACCTAGTGCATTTTTCTCATGGAATGTTTTGAAAACTAACTCCCTCATTTAACATGACAACAATGAAGCAGCAGAAACATGATGTCGTTCATCCGCAGTCACAAGGTAGTTAGAGGCAGATTTAGGACCTGAAATCAAGTCTCTTGACTTCCAGTTCAATATTCTTTCTGTTGTATGTCATTCAGCCTTTTTGTTCCTTTTTTTGTTCTTCCTCTACTCTTTGGTCTTTCACATCCTTAATTCTCATTGGTATAATCATGGCCAACTTCAGAATATGAATGAGAATGGGTATCCAGGGTAGGCACAGAGGGTCAAAGGAAACAGTAATTTTGACATTTAGTCTTATTCTGCATTGCATTGTTCTATACTTCTTTCTTTCCAGCCTAATCTCAAAACCTTGTTCCTCAAACAAGACACTCCATCTCCTAACTTAGGGCATTTTCACTGACTGTTTCCTATGCCTGGAACTAACTCTCTTCTTCTTCAGCTCTGCCTCTTGGCTTCCTTCAAGTCCCAGCTAAAATCCTGGCTTCTATTGGAAGCCTTTCTCCATTAGTCTTAATTCTAGTGCCTTCCTCTGTTGATTATCTCCAATTTATGCTATATATAGCTTGTTTATAGATAGTTTTGCATGTTGCCTCCTGCATTAAACTTCGAGCTCCTGCTGTCTTTTGCCTTTCTTTGCATCACCAAAGCTTAGCACAGTGTCTGGCATACAGTAGTTTATATACTGTGTTTATTGACCAACTAACTAAATGTAAGTTCTTCTTATTATACAAACTTTCTATTGCAGACAAAATAGTCTACTGGTTTTCCTCAGAAAATGCCTTTGTGTTTTCCCACCCTCTACCTGTAAAGACTGCTTGGAATTCTGTTTACTTAAATCTTAAATCTCATCCATCTTTCAAAGCCCATTTCAAATATTGTCTCCTCCATGATGTCTTCATATCTCTTCCCATATCCTCACTAGCTTATAATAGTTATTCCATTCCTCTGCACTTGTACAGCATCTATAGTATTTCTCAACCCTCCAACCCATCCGCCACACAGTTGCCAAACCATCATTCCTAAAACACAGAGCAGACCATGCTTTTATCCTACTCAAAAATATTTAAAGGCTATCTGTTGCTGCTGGGCTAAAATATAAAATTCTTGGCTTGGAATTTAATAATTAATTATCAATTTAGTTATCCAAGCTAATTTTATATGATTCACTTTCATACACTCACCATCTGGTCAAATTGGCATCATTGGTCCTTTTGGGCGACATTTCATTTCCATCTTCTACAGCTTTACACAGGTTACCTCCCAATTCTAAAATCAACTCTCTTCATTTTTGTCTCAGTCTTCCAAGCTTCCTTCAAAGCATGGCTGAGGTGCTATTTAAGGCCCTTCCTGAGTCCTGAAAGTTGTTAGTATACTCTCCTTCCTGAAATTCTTTATCATCAATCATAGATCTAGAACTAGAGGGATCTCAGTGGCACCTAATTCTATCCCCTCATTTTACAAATAAGAAAACTGTAGTCCAAGAGATTGTAACCTTCTCATGGGCACACGAATAATAAAAATCAGAAGCAACATTTGAACCCAAGTCTTCTGATTGCGAAGTTGGTATTCTTTCTACTATACCGTATTGCCTCCTATACTTTGGGCCTACTTATTTGTGTATAACCCCAGTAGAATATAAGCTACTTGAGGGCAGGGGCTACTTTGTTTTTATCTTCATATCTCTGTAGTCTAATACAGAACTACACAAATATTTTTAGTCCAAGTCTATGATTTCATCAATGTCAAGAACTCACGCTGTGGAAATACTTTCCACCACTCCAGATCAGTAGCTTCTTTATAATTCATAGTCTAAGAAAGTTGCCTGGGCACTAGAGGACGAGTAACTTTTCTATAGTCATTTAACAGCTATATATAAGAAGCTAGACTTCAATATAGCTTTCCTGATTCCAAGGATAACTCTTACCTCTCTCTTCAATAAACTCCAATGCCTCCCTATTACCTTCAGGATCAAAAATAGTCTTCTATTTGTCTTCTAAGCCTATACAGCCTTTCCTTCCTACCTTTCCAGGGAAAAGGATGAGAGCCTTCTTATTCTAGCTAGTGCTGCTTTTGAAAAGCCAGTGATTTATTGAATAGGGACATATTTGGGCCATTTCCTTTAGCGTACCCATTAAGTCTTTCACCTCAGTGAATTTATCTGGTGCTTAATGACTATTTAAATTTGGTTAAATTTAATGAGAGAATGTTTAAACTATATAAATGAAATGATTAGATATTTTCCTAATTGAGACTATTTCTAAATGCTTTGCATTTTTTAGTATCACGAATTGGTGGTATGGTATCATGGAAAAAATACTTATTGGAGTTAGAAGAATGGGTCTGAATCCTGCCTCCATCAGTTACTAGCTGTGAAGAAGTTATTTCCTTTCTCTGAGACTCAATTTCTTCATCTGTAAAATTAAGGAGTTGGACTAGCCGGTCCCTTTGTCCCTTCATTAAAAAAAAATGCTCAGTTAGCATTTGTTAAGCACCTACTGTGATTCCAAAAAGGCACAGAAGATTGGAATTTGCATGGGTGGAAAAAGTATACATATAGATGGTTTACATAGATCATTGAAGTATTGGATTCAATTTAACAAGCACATAGTAAACCCCTTTTATGTTCCAGGCACCACATATGTATGTGTGTACATGTAAAAAGGGAGGAGAATGAGGTGGACAAAGATAGCTAAGACACAAGTTGTTCATAAATCAAGTGATCTTCTGGGCTATGATTATACAAAAAGAAACAAACAAACAAAAACAGACTGGAAAACTGTCTATTGGTTGGAGTCTAAGGGAATTTTGTTGTTAGTCATTCAATTCAACCCCTTCATGTTACAGATGGGGAAATTGAGGCTGAAAGTGGTTAAGTGACTTGTTCAAGGTCACAAAGCTACTGAGTCAAAGGTAAGATTTGAACCTGGGTCCTCTGACTACAGAGCCTTGTTCCACCTTGATTTTCCAGAAGAGAGATGTTAAAAGAACTGTGAGGAAAAAAAAAACGCTCTCAAAAGTATCAATTTGGAAACTATTTTTTGTAACTTACCCCTGGAGTCCTTGGTCCAAGTTTCATCTTCATCAAAATGAACATCTCCTCCAATTCCCTGGCCTGGTTGAAATGCATGTGCAAGAATCCCATTGGGACCATCAAAGGGTGAATTGTCACCATGATCTGTAATCGAAACAAAGGCAATGCTGAGCCTTCCATATTCTCAGATTGGCCAAAGAGACTGCATTTAGCATGACAAGGTTGCTATTACCTCCTCGGACAAAAGAGATCTTTATGTCAGCTTCACCCTCATAGATCCTGGTGAACTTCAGAAGTGATGGACCACTCCAAATCTGTATGGCTTTCTCAAGGGCTGAATCCACATCAGCTTGTGACATATCTTGTGTGTAGTCTATAATGCTTTTAAATGAAAGGGATTGGTAAAAGACTTATCAACATTAAAGTCATCATATTAAGCATTAATCACTTTGTGATTTCTTTTAGAGTTAGGTGGGTACTTGTTTTATCCTTTTTTCTAGATAAAAATTCCTTGTAGGTAGGGTCATAGAATCAGAGATCTGTCACTGAAATAGAGGGCGTCTAGGTAGCATAGTGAGTAAAGTGGCAGGTTGGAGTCAGTAAGATTCATCTTCCTGAGTTCAAATCTATCCTCAGACACTTACTAGCTCTCTTAATCCTATTTGCCTCAGTTTCCTCATCTGTAAAATGAGGTGGAGAAGGACATGGCAAACCATTCTAGGATCCTTGCCAAGAAAACCCCAAATGGGATCACGAAGAGTTGGACGTGACTGAAACAACTGAACAGCAAAAAGCTGAAGTAGACCTTAGAAATCATCTAGTTGAACTTCTCATTTTACATGTGAGAAAACTAAGACCTAGAGACATTAAGTGACTTGCCCACTGTCACACAGGTAGGAAGTAGCAGAGATGGATTGGAACTCAGGTCTTGTAATGTCATATTTGGTGTCCTTTGTAGTGCACCATACCACAATGCCATGGTTCATCCTTGTATCCTTGATTTCTAGCATAGTGCATTGCATAAATTAAGCACTCAACAAATGCGATAAATGAATAAATGAAGTCAAGTAGTTAATGTCTCACATGAGTTCTCCTTCCTATTTTTGGAAAAAGTGGTATACTATATTTTCCATCACTCTTTGGGAGAATGTCAGGCTATGAGACAGTGAGAGAGGAAGGTACAAGTAGGTGCTAGACCAAAAGGGTGAAAGTGCTAAGATGACAGAGTGGGAAAGAGGAGATGATAATATAACCGATTTCCCCATTCAAACATCAGCTTATCAGATACGGTGAATATTTAGTGAATTGCATAAATTTGAATTAGATTGTCCCCAGTAGTAACTAAACCTTTCCTTGGTGGCAAGCAATTTGGATGCATGGACAGATATCTTCGTGCTATCAAGGTACCACTTAGTCCACTAGAGAATTAATTCATTAAATAACAGATATGGGGGAGAAAGGATCCTGTATAACTTGTCATTTACTCTTTGTATGCTATCATCCTTGAATACAGGAAACTTTACCTGTATGTAATTTCATTCCGTTTCCACTTTGGATTTCCTTCAGTCAGCTTGTATTCAATTGCATCAGGAACCCCACATCTGGGCATTTGCATCACTTCCATGGTTTCTTCATCTGTTTGTCCAGTCTCCTCCAATCCAAAAAATTTCTGCATTTCTTTAAGCTTTTTAACTAAATGAGTGCTATTCTTCTGCCGTTTTATCTTATCTCCACTTTTTGGCATATTATAAAAGTTCTCTAGATACCTCTGTTCAAAGACAAACATTAGAAATCTTGTCTGAAATCTCTGTGCAGTTATGTTTTCTGAATTATCCTTCCTCCAGGTGTAGAAACCCAGGATGACCTCCGCTTTCACATCAACTGTGCTCTCTGGAAATGTAAGGACAGCTACAGAGAATACCTCTCTTTCTATAGAACTTGAGCCAAAATATATGTTTCTTGGAGTGCAAATCCATTGAGGACTAACATGACCCATGCATAGACTTTGACTATGAAATCATGTGACCAGAGAACAAGCAGACCCAAGCTTACATCCAAATAAGTGCTGTCACTTTCAAAGTAGTCACCTTGGAAATCTATGCACTTATTCTAAGGATACTAAGAACATTTCTTAGTGGGGCACATTGTGGGCATGTAATAGATACTTAACAATCAATAACAAAAACACTTCATCGTGTGTGTGTGTGTGTGTGTGTGTGTGTGTGTGTGTGTATCAGAACTATGACCACAATAAGATAAACAGGAATTTTTACTAGGGTACTAGTATGGACAAGGGCATACCACTGGGAGATCATGCTTCCATACTTTTCCCCATGCTAATTGCTGTCCTGGATTTTACCTTGCAGTCCTACACAGGCATTAGTTGGAGCTGCTCCTGAGAAAACACCTTGACTGCCTTCCACCCACCACCACAGTATTGTCTTGCTTCTGTCTTATGATTGTTTCTGCTCCTCTCTGGGGGCCTATCCTCCTTCTTCCACATCAACTAAATTTATTCTACCATTTCAGTTAGTTATGGCTCTATGCAATATTGTTTATAGAAAGTTATTTTAGGAAAATTAAAGAGAAACAATGATATCACCGAACATGTTGAATGCTTGTAGCAGTTTCACTAATTCCTTTTTTGTTGTGATGTTGAGCTTTCATTCTGTGAAATAATGGAAAAAATCCCTTAGATCTACTTTTCTATTGACTACTATGACTTATAAATAGACCCTAAATCTGGTGAGTAGGCACTCTGATTCCACTGCCAGGATCTACTGAATTGATTTTTCCTTGTTCTACTTTCATGGCTCTAGATTTCCTTCTGTCCCTGGCTACAAATGAATTCTGTGAATGGGAAACCAGTTAACAATAATAACAAATAGCATTGTGTAGCTCTTTTTTTTTATAACAACCTTGTAAAGGAGGGAGTGCAAGTGATCCATTTTACAGAGAAGAAAACTGAGGCTCACAGCAGTCAAATGATTTTCCCAAGATCACAGAGTCAGTGAATAAGGGAATCACAACTCAAATCCAGGTCTCCTGGCTTCCAGTACATCATATTACCCTTCTATGAACATGTGGGTATGGGAGGGTGGGTCGTGGGAGGAGACAGGAAATCCTAATTTAGATAAAAGAATTTTCATGTAACAAAAAATAAAAAAATAACTCACTGTAAAAGGTTCACAGTAAGTAGTACTTGAGCTACAGCATTTTTATAAATACTAAAGGCATGGCTAATTTTATTTTCTTCTCTCTGGGGGTGGAGGAGTGTGAAGAGACAATGTTCATCATCTTTAAATCTTCTAAATCATGAAGCTGAACCTAAACCAAAATCCAGAGAGAATAGTCTCATTCTTAACATTCATATTAGGACATTGCCATTGAGAAGGGAAGCAATATCCATTTCACTTCCTGAAAACAAAAAATCAGTAGGTCATTCACAACCAGTTTTTACCTGAACAATTGCCATTTTTTCCTCCTCAAGGCTCTTAGGAGATACAGGAAAAGCATTTGAAAGCTGTGGGTGAAGTAACAGGAGAAACAGAAGGACCTTCTTCATGTTTGGTATGACTTCCGTTCCTTTCTCCCAACAGATCTTTCCCTGCTAGGGAAGTCCGGCTCTCTGGGTGAAGACCTTCTTTGCTTGCTTGCTTGGGGCTCATACCCTCCTTTGTCCCTTGTTAATGTTCTCTTTATAGACCTGATAAAGCAATGTCCAACATGATGGTTTCTTCAGAAGTTGTGTAGCAACCCCAGCTTGTTACACTATCAATTTTGTAATTTTTATTCTGTGATTTATCACAAGGAAGGGGGGAAAAAAGAGGCTTTCGACAGAAAAAAAGAGATTTTTTTCTTTGCTTCCTGGATTTTTCTATAGGCTTTTTCAGTCAGATGTTCATCTCAGCAAAATTTACACCTGCAAGAGCTCTACATAGGAGCAGGAAGTAGCTCTGATAGTTTTTAGACAAAAAGTAGAAGTTTCCTCCTGCATATATAAGACACTGGGACAGGTAAGGTGTGCTTGCGTGCCTCCTACCTGTAGCGTAGACTTCTTGGGTTCTGTCCACCTCATTGTACATGAAAAGATTTTGTGCCTAGCCACAGGGCCATGAAGATAGGAGCTGTGCATTGGGGGAAATGAAAAAAGAATTTTTTCAATGATGGAATCAAAAACGGATAATGATGAGGGACAAGATTAAAAGGGCCCTAAAGAATTAATCTCTAAAGGTAGAATTTCAAGTCCTATGAAGGTAAGGAGGGTCATAAGATCATAGATTTATAGTTGGCAAAGGTCATTTCGTCCAACTCCCTCATTCTGCAGATGAAGAAACTGAGATCAAGGGAGGTTAACTGGTCAGAACTCCTTGAATCATGTTTTCCTATCCAAGGTAAGTTAATTCACTCAGTCTTGAGACTCCATTTCTCCAAGGGCTGTGCTAAGCCAATAAATGGATGGGCAACTAACTGAAAACTCACCTAACTCACTGTATGTAGAGGCAATGCTTCTCATCCCATCTAGTCATCCAGCAGGATTCCTGGGCCTACCTAGTGCTGAAACATTGCTCAGTGCCTCGCTGTCAAACTCAAGGTCCACATATCTTTCCACCTGTTGTTGTTATTCTGGGAACAATATTCAAATTAATTCTATCACAATTGCTAGAAAGCTTCCCCGGACCAAAACTCACTTCTCAGGCCAACAGTACTCCTTTCTCTTATTTCTTTCATGGGAATATAAACTCCTTGAGGGCAACAGCTGTCTCATTTGCCTGCCCAGGGCCTAACACGATGTCCGGAATGTAGTAGGTGCCTAATAAATGTCTGTTGATTGGTTAATTGGCTGGTTACCCACTGTCACAGAGAATCCCCACTGTATCATATTCCGGATAGTTTTTGTTAGGGAAGCCCTTGCGCAGTACTTTTTAAATTACAGCCTATAAGCAATAGCATGGTCTACTTGATATAAAATCAGCTCCTGTATCCTCCCAGATTGTCTACCATGAGTCTTGTTCATGGTAGATACTCAAGGAATATTTATTGAATGAATGAAAACACATACATATGTTGCTGTTATCTAATTTGTTTGAGATAAGCCTTCAGATCCTTTGTAATATTTGCTGGGAAAACTTTGACCACTTAGGAGCTGGGACTTGAACTAGATTCATGTGGCGGCTAGGTGGTATAGTAGATAGAGTACTGAACCTAGAGTCAGTGAGTAAATATGCATTAATATTTAAATTAGTTAATCTAGCACATGCTAGGAATTCTGATAAATACTGGGGATACAGAGCAAGATAAAAGACAACCCCTGCCCTCAAGGAACTCACGCTCTCATGGGGAAGACCACATACATATAACTATGTACAAACAGACTAAAAGCAGGATAAGTAGTAAATAGCAGAGAGAAAGCACTTAAGTTCAAAAGGATTCTTGTAAAAGGTGGGATTTTAGCTGGGACTGGAAGGAAGCCAGGGAAGCCAGAAGGCAGAGCTGCAGAGGGAGAGCATTCTAGGCATGCGTGACAGTCGGTGAAAATGCCCAGATTCAGGAATTATTGGAGTGTTTTGTTGGAGGAACAGCAAGGAGGCCAGGCTCATTGGATTGCAGAGTATAGAACAGGGATATAAGGCATAAGAAGACTGGAAGCAGGGAGTAGGTTATGAAGGTCTTTGAACTCCAAACAGAGGATTTTATATTTGATCCTGGAAGTGATAAAGAGCCATTGGAATTTATTGAGTCAGAGGTGACACAGATAGGTCACCCTTTCCTGCACCAGGGTGGTGGCAGTTATCAGAGAAGAGAAAGGAGTATATGCAAGAAATGTGGCAAAGGTGAAATTGAAAGGTTTTGGTGACAGATTGAATACAGGGAGGGGAGTAGGGTGAGCCAGTGAGGAGTAGAGGATGACATCTAGATTGAAAACCTAGGGGAGTAGGAAGATAGTAGTGCCCTTGACAGTAATAGGGTAGAGAGGCTTTTGGGGGAAAGAGAAAGAGTTCTGGATGAGTATCAGTATAATTTCAGCTGCAAAAAATGTGTGCTGAGTGTAAGATGTTAATAAGATATATATTTTGAGATGTCTAATAGGCAGCTGGAGATGTGAGATCAGAGGTCAGCAGAGAGGGTAAGTTTGGATAAGAAGACTTGAAAATCATCAGCATAGAGATAATAACTGAATCCATAGAGTCAGGAAGACCTGAATTCAATGTATCCTCACACACTTACCAGCTGCCTAACCCTGAGAATATCATTTCACCTTTGCCTTGGTTTCCTTATCTGTAAAATGGTGATGATAATAATAGCATTGGCATCCCAGGTTTGTTGGGAGGCTCACATGATATAATATGTGTAAAATGCCTTTCAAACCTTAAAGTGCTATGTAAATGTTAGTTATTATTATTATCCAAATAACACATTTATGTACATTATAGATTCATTACAAAATCAAAGCCATAGCACTCTGAATCCAAATAGTGCCTTTTCTATAAGCACTTCAAAGTGTTTTTCCTTGTATTGTCTCATGGATGGAGGGAAAGGAATACACATTTATATAGCTCCTATTGTATGTCAGGCACTGTGCTAAATGCTTTCACAATGACCCTTCAAGGTAGGTGCTATTGTTATCTTTTTTTTTTACAGTTGAGGAAACTGAGGCAGAGGTTGTGAGCTGCTCAGAGTCATATAACTAGTAAGTGTCTGAGGTTGTATTTGAACTCAGATTTTCCTGGCTCCAGATCTACTCTTAGGGTAGTTTTTGCTTGATTTCCACCCCCCCCCCCCGCCTTTTATCAGGTATGCAGTTAAAATATCCACTTTGGACAGAATGGAGGTGTCTGACACTTACCCAGCTGAAGCTGCAATCATATTGGGGAATTTGCTTGTGCAGTCAAACTTGGTCTACTTGACTTTTCTCTAAGCAACCAGTCAGGAAGCCAACACTTTCAGGCTGATTCTAGCAGTTGCACATTTGCTATATCCTGTTTCCTGACAGCAGGACCAACATTTTGCAAAATGGGGGAGGAGGTGAAGTTTGTCTTTGGTCCTCCTGCTTCCCCTTTTCTTCATCTTTGTTATCCCTCTGTGGCATTTGCTATACCTCCCTGCTTCTGGTGCCCAGTGCCCTTGTGTTACCTCAGGCTCCCCTATCAAAACTGCTTTCAGGGACAACTCTGGTATGAGCCAATTGTACTTTAGGATGACTTTAAGTTGATATATTCCCTCTCAGAAAAACTTTTGTAATTTAAACCTAGAATGAAAGGATTTCTCTACTGTAGATGGAATTTTTGGCATCAGAGAAAGAGAGACCTTCTTGGCAACATTAAAATCTAACTATGCCAGTGACTGCCTATTTGGCTTAAATCACTCATTAGCTAGCATTTACGTGGCACTTGAGAGTTTAGAAAGTCCTTTCCTGTACAGACAGCTTCACCAGACATGAAACTTGACTACACAAGTATAAATAACATAGGAAACCAAGCAAATATCCATTGTTGAACTTAGTTATTTTGCTTTCTCAAAGTAAATGAAATGGGTGTGCTATGTAACACAGTGAAGGTGGGAAAAAGACGGACCTGTGATTTTACTTATATGGGAAACTACTGGTTAAGGGAACTCTCTCTACCAATGAGAGTCAATGTCTCAGCAACTTATAGTCTCAGAGAGTTTCCTAGAGCACTGAGGAGTTAAGTGACTTACCTAGTCAGGGTCATATAACCAGCCTCTGTTGAAGTCAGGATTTGAACCCAGGTCTTCCTGGCTTTGAGACCATTTCCATGCACTCTTCCACACTGCCTGTGAAGAGTTATATCTTCTCTGTCACATAGGTCTAGCCTAAGACATAGCCACTTTTTGTATCATAATTATCTCTATACTTATATAATTTCATCACTAACAATAATCTCCATGAAGCTGGCCAGTTTATATCTCAAAGCCTCAGTTTCTTCATTTGTAAAATGAAGGGGTTGGACTAGATCAGTGGTGTCAAACTTAAATAGAAATAGAGGCCACTAGTATGTACATAAGGATTCCTGCAGGCTGCCTATTGACTTAGTTTTAAAAAGTGATATTACCTATTTTTATAGTATTTTTATTTATTTTGTTAAATATGTCCCAATTACATTTTAGGGGTAGATAGGTGATGCACTGGATAGAGCACTGAGCTTGGAATCAGGAAGACTCATCTTCCTGAGTTCAAATCTGGCCTCAGACATTCACTGTGTGACCCGGGGCAAGTCACATAACTCTGTCTCAGGTTCCTCTCCTGTAAAATGAGGTGGAGAAGGAAACAGCAAACCACTCTAGTATCTTTGCCAAGAAAACCCCAAATGGGGTCATGAAGAGTTGGACATGATTGAACAAATTACATTTTAATTGGGAGAGTTGTGACTGGCAGTGTCTTGTTTGACACCTCTGGGCTAGATCAGCTCTAATATCCATTCCAACTCTAATCCCGTTAATTCACAATTGAATATCCTGAATAACCTGTTTGGAGTGAGGTGAGAATAGAAGGAACATGGATTTCTAATAGGTACAACTGGGTTCAAATCCCATCTCCATTACTTACTGGCTATGTGATCGTGGGCAAGTACCTTGTCCTCCTGGCCTTTAATAACTTATTTCTAAAGTAAAGGTATTGGGCCAGATGGTCTCAAAGATCTCTTCTAGCTCTAACATACTATGATCTGTATATGAGAAGGACAAGTAAGTGATAAAGAGATAAATCCCTGCCTCCAATCTAACCTGATTCTTCTTGCTTTTAGGATGTGTTGGACTGAGGTGGAGAATTACTGCCACCATGTGGCAAAGAGCTCTCTGCTCTTTCATCGCCAAACCTTTTGCCTTGGCTTCCTCCAGGGCTGCAATAGTTTTTATCCTGGGCCAACTCAAGCTGTTGTTACCCAATTTGTCCTGGTGAGGGTTGAGGCAATTAGGATCTCAATACATATTTTTTTGTTGTTATTTTCATTTTCCCTAAGCATTGCAAAGAAGTTTCTATCTCCACTCAGGAAGGCAACACAGCTGAGCCAAGCAAAACCAGGACTAAAACCCAGATCTCCTTATTCAAATTGCAGTATTCCAAAGTTTTGTAGGCCAGTAAAATATCAAAATTCTGTACTTTGGATGG